GATGACCATCCCGAGTTTCTTGCTCGGGAAGTTGAGGACGTATTCCGTTCCTATTGCGCGGGCCTTTTGAGGTCTGAAAGTTTCGACCTCAGGTCCTGCGTGATTGAGCCGGAGACGGCGCCCAAGGCGGAGCCGGCTCCCAAGATGAAGCCACCCCCTCCATCTCTGTCGGCAAGTACGGGCCCTCCTAGGCGATCGGCTCCTGCTGTACATACTGGGTCGGCTCACACCGCCAAGCGTCCGAGAGAGGCTGGCGGTGGCTCCTCTGGGAACGTGCAGATCCCAGGACATTATTACGGCAAAGCCCGTACAAAGGAATCCCCTGCTCAATCCTCTGAACCGCCAATGGGCGGAGCAGGGGGGAGCGCGCAGCCATCCGAAATGGATGTGGATAAGGAGGGGAATAAGGGTGACGAGAAGAAGGACAAAGCGGCCAATGAGGCTGCTGTAGCGTCAAAGAGCGCAAAGCCGCATCCGGCGAAAGCGTCGCGTCCCGAGGCCCTAGGCGGCTCGTTGGATGTGACACTAATCAGCGACGTACGGGAGCGTGATCGGGATATTTCCGATGATGAATTTACCCCTACGAACGTGTGCATGTTTCCAGAATCATGGGAGGGCGCAATGCCGACCTCCGTGATTGACAAGGCCGGAGGTTTTGAGCAGTTTCGGAACGAGCTCATGAGGATCCAGAGAGTCCTGGATTCTCCGGCGTTGGTCGACCTTGGTAAGGTCGATCTGGACGCTCTGGGCGAGCCGCCCAAGGAGTACGTCTCGGATGAAGATCACGAGAGTTATGTGGACGATGAGGGGATGGGTCCATATGTGGACAAATTCTCATCAATGGGTGACCGCGACCTAGTGCCCTCAAAGCAGGAGCCGCCTTACTATGAGGCAAAGGCGTGGCGCACCACTGAAGAAGAAATTGAAAGGATGAAGAACCTTTTTCCATTCTTTCGTGCCGAAAATTATCGGCTTATGTCCGCGAGTACTGGTCCCATAGGTACCAAGTCGCACGTACAGGGCGTCCTCCCTACAGGTGCGTCGTTGGAAGAGGCACTAATGGCAAAGCCCGATGTGTGCCCGATTTCGAGCAACTACAACCTCACAATCGAGGGTGAGGAGGTTGTGATTGATGCACAGGGCGGGATAGCAGGCAGATTCGCCTGTCCTGCCGGAAGAGATATCTTCCATTTCTTCCCCGAAATTAGGGATGTGTCGGCGTTTGTTGGACGAAGCTCCAGGGAATCGCAAATGCTGCTAGAAGTTTTGTCGGGCAACACTGACCCTACGCGGTTAAACGTGAAGCCCGGTGAGCAGCCTCCCTTCTTGTTTGGGACAGTCCCAGACATTCTGGGAGGTTGGATGTCGATGACTCTGATCTCGACGCTACTTGAGGCCCTATACGGGATCCACAAGTGCACGAGTGTCGAGGTTGCGACCTGGGCGGCTGCTCTCGCAATGGAAAGCCCATCGTACCCTCCAATCGAGCTCCTAATACGGACGGTCTGGAGGACAGATGGCACGAGTGTGCGCCCGAAGGAGGTGCTTTTTGCGCGGTCCACCCTAATCGGGAGGGACGTGCCGTTCAAAGTTTTCAAGCGTTGGGCACTGCGTGACCGAACGCCTATGGGGCCTTTGCTTAGGCCGATGGGAGCAGCAGAAGTCCCTTATACGGGATACGTGCTGCTGGCGATGGCCGAGTATCGGTCCGCCCTCAAAACGAGGTGCATCCGGAGGCCTGGCAAATTCGCCATCACAGTTTTCCCCATGCGACCTGAGCAGGTCTGCAGGGGGGAGATCATGATTGGGATGGAGGGCGCAAAGGTGCCTTTCCTCAAGTTGCCCAGCCCCAATAATGAGGGCGAATTTTATGTTGACGACCGCATCAAGTACATGGACAAGCGCCATGTCGTTGTGGCCGTTGACCTAAAGTGGATGGCCATCGAGGAAGCCGCCGGCATCTACAAAACCCGACGCGGTTTGATCGCCGTGCGGGAGGAGATACATGCGCCCTTTTGGCGCGCATGCTATCTGCACCAGGAAGGGGATGTAATATACATCCGTCCCTGGGCGGTCCGTGAGTTGAATGTTCAGGGACCGCGGAGAGGGGTGTCATTTTCATGGGACAATGCTCCCATGCATGACTACTGGTGCCCTCGGTGCGCGCATTTGAACATGTATGGCACCATTCTATGCAATGGTTGCCATCTGCCGATTTTCTATCGTGAATGGGTGCCAGGCACCGTCCGCGCTCTGGTTAAGCATGGACAGCCAATCTGGCTGAGCGAACTCAAAGCAGTTCGCCCCAGCAGCTGGCATGAGGGGGAGACCGACGCGTGGGCCCCTCTCATGGCATCGGTAAACCCGATTCGCGAGGTGGTCAGCTGCACGATCACCGGTTTGCGCTGCGCGCCGCATCTTGTGCACATTCCCAATGCGGATATTGTGCAAGTTGCGTTTCAGGAGGTTGCAAAGGTCACCTCAAAGGACACTCACGCTTGTGTGCGGGCGAGTGATGAGGCTCTCGAGCGGTGGGTAGCGAAGCAGCTGCTCATCGAGGAGAGCAACACTGGCGTCTCGATTCCCGACAATATGTCTGTCATGGCATATTTAATCGACCACCCGCAACAGGCGGCGCAATGGGGTCGTCATATGACGAGAAAGGGCAGTCTAAATTCAGCATTTGCCCTTTACCTCTCTGTGCATATCTTTGATGCCTACCGCATCGGGATTGAGGACGGGTATTTGGTTCCGCTGTATGGCCTAGGCGCCTCACGCGCGGACATCATAATGTCGTTGGTACAGGCTGAGCGACGCCTCACGGACTTCAATACTGAAGATCCGAGTTTCGACGCTTCCACTGTTCTTGATTGGAATATCGACTCTTTGCGGGCCAGTGGTGGATCCATCACGGCCCCAATTGAGTATGCTGAGGCATACATTTATGTCGAAGACAATAAGGTTGACATGGTCCCCGCTTCGCGGCGCGACGGCCAATGCGCCATTGTCTTTGCTGACCCGCCGGTTGGGAAGCACCACAGGCGGGCAGCCACTCCTAGGGGAGACCAACGGTCTGCTACCCCGCGACCTGAATCCAGGTCAAAGGGTGATCAGCAAAAGGGCAAAGCCCCTGCACAATCCTGGCCCAAGGGCGGAGGTCACAAGGGTGACCAGTTCCCAGGAAAGGGTCACAAAGGTGATCAGTACAAAGGCAAGGGTGGCCAATATGGCTACCAACAAGGGCAGTTCGGTCGTGGCGGATCCGCCAGATCGAGAACTCCCACTGGCGGGTATCAGCCTGATGCTCGCGGGTCGGGATACAAGGGTGCTCAGGCAGCCCCTTTCCCGTTCCCAAGTCCGATGTACCCCGCTTTCCCAATGGGAGGGTACATGCAACAGCCAATGGCTGGCATGATGCCGCAAATGTGGCCTGGCACAATGCAGCAGGGTTGGCAGCCGCACATGCAGGGTGATCCACGCGAGTTCGAGAATCCGAACTCGCCGCATACCCCTACCTGGGGTGCGGATGATGAGTTGGCCGAGACCGTGCCTCCTCCTCCTGGGGACTGGAACGTCAACAAGGGGAGGGGACGGCACGGCGGCGGACGACATCGGTAATACCTGGTGTCCGTCTGCATCTTTTGCGTAGCGGCGCCAACGCGCGCGTGCTTTCATTCCGAAATTCACATAATGGACAATGCTCCCTGTAGTATTTCTATGTTTGGGCTATTCGCCATTCCAGAATTCAACTGCATGCGCAGCTGTGCGCTATTCGCGCTGGCGGCGATTACCTGTCAGGTGTGCGTCGCCGCAGCAAGGCAGTTACCCTCGCCGGTGTCTACGGCCGCTGGTTGTCAGCATCGTCCAGCACCGCTGCTGCTGCTGGAGATGGAACTCATCAAGGTGCTGCGGTGAGGATCACGGATGCGCTGCACCGCTGCCGGTGAAGTCCTACTCGGATCTGGACCGCTGATTGCAGCTGGTGGTGTTCCTACTGAAGGTCTTTGTGTGATCGCGCGCCTAGACGGTGCTACTTTAAAGACCAAGGTCTTGTGGTCAAAGCACCATGTTTCAACCAGCAGGCCAATGCGCCTAAATCATGAATTCAGAAACTAAATCCACTTGAACCTTGCGGTTCGTTGTGGTTGCATTGCAAATGTAATTTTATTTCATGCCTGCCATTCTGGAGTTGAATCTCTGTTTCTGTTTCTTTTTGCTTTCTCTTGTTTGATTTGGCTACCGGCGCGAATCCGCCCCATACCCGTAATTCGGGGTGGTGGCGGGATCCGGGCACCAATGAGTGCCCGGGTATGGGGTCGCGAACCCTGGTAGCCTAATCGGCTTTGTTTTTCTTGGTTATTGCCTTCTCAACTTCAACATGGCCAATGCGCCCTTCCAAATTCACTCCATCTCTTTGTACAGGCGAGGGGGGTGTTTTTGGGGGCATGTAGTTTTATCATAACATGTTTCCACGCCACGGCCAATGCGCCGTTTGGCTCAAGCTTTTCAATCCGGCAACTTGCCCTTGCAATTTCGTCACCGCGCACCGCGGCACATCGTGCTCGTCTCCGGCAAAGAGTGCCGCTGCCGAGCGCCTGTGGTGGTGTTCCCGGTGGAGGTTGGTCGGGGGTCTGGTTGGGGTTGGTGTGCACTGGTTTGCTTTGCTTGCTTCGCTGCATTGTTTGCCTGCTTGGTTTGCTGCTTTGTGCTTGCTTTCGGTTGTCTCTGCCCTTGCTGGGTTTCTTTATCTTGTTACAACTGGCACCCTGTTTTGGTTCGTGTTTGGCCAGCCGAGGGCACCGCTTTGCCCTTGGGACTGGGGGACTTAAACAATCTCTTCTTGTTGGTGGGATTGGGCCTGTTTATTCTCTCCCGAAACTCTGTTTCAAACCCTTTCGCAAAGGGGATGGAGCATTTCCTCAGATTCACAAAGAATCCGTCGATTCCGTGACTGGCAGAGGGGATTGTCGCATCCGATCGGGGCCTGGACGCATTGCCAGGCGCCAAGCTCGCTGTTGGGCCCCGTGACGGCTCTCTTGACAGACAGTGACCTGAGCATCCGCTGCCTGGCAGCATCCGCAGCTTTGGGAAGATGCTCTCTGAGAGAAGAGCAGTTTGACGGAAAGAAATGGCCAAGAGGAAGAGGATGTTTGGATATATCCAGGAATCAACGTTCGAGCATCGGGGAGCCAGCTGTTATTTTTGTCGAAGTTCTGCAAAGTTTCTCATGTTGGAAAGGCCAGCTTGGGTCGCAAAGGGAAACCAAAATGGAACGAAATGGACCCATTCCTAGCTGCGAGGCTATGGAGCCGCCATGGCGCTTGGCTCCATGGCGGAGATGGTGGCAGCCTCTCGAGCAACGGACGCCCGGCAAAGAGACTAGGGTTGTGAGACGCCGGAGACGGGGAGGTGTCAAAATGGGTCTCTCTCTCTCGTTAAGCGTTTCGGACACCCCGCAAAAGCATGGACAGAAATGGTGGTGTTCCTTTTGGTCTGCCGTTAAGCCAACCCCAAAACAGGACTTTCTCAAGAAGCAACGCTTGAGCCAGTTGAACGTCGAACCAGCCGTAAGTGCGAGAGACCTGAAAAGGGCCCTGCGAGACCACAGCCCGGCATACTTTGCACCAAAGATGCAGACAGATTTGTGCTGAAGTTGGAACACCATTACGTGGGGGTTGATGAAACGGTCCTTTTCGTGGGATGACCATTGGGGAGAACCACAACAAACATGATATTTCCCATTATTTCCCACATGGGAAAAGTTACTCATGGTCATTGGGGCCAGGAATATTGGTCAACCCGCATTCAGCTCGGCGGATTGATGGCGCCCAGATCGACCAGCTCGTGGGCTTGCTGAAAGCTGACGACGTCAACGCGCGTGCGGCCCGAGGACCCAGCTGGACTGTGAACGACGGTGGTGCAACCGTTCTGAACTTTCGGGCATCCCAGCAACCTTGACAGGTGTTTACTTTTAAGCTTTGTACATGAGATCCATGTCGCATACACATCCTCTTCCCGAGTTTTTCGGTCTGAGGAGTCACTTTTCGGGTTTGGACCGTGTAACGGCTGACGGTTTTCTCCGGGCTCCCAGCTCGAAAGCTCCGACGCATCCCCGAGTCGGACGTCGGACGCAGGCGGCCTGCTGCGCCCTGGCGCGCATGGGCAAAGAGGCCCAGCCCAGCGCGGAGCTCGTGGCCACGCTGGTCACGGACATGCAGGAGAGACCAGAAAACCCGCGGAGGTCGTTGGGTCCGCGTCGAAAAGGGGTTTGACCACTTTTTGGGGGATGCCCCGTGTTTCTGTGTGGTTTTCGAGGTTTCTTCTTGAGGTCACCTTGTCGCTTCTTGGGGTGGGCTTTTGAAAGGTTGGATGGGTTTCCCCGGCAAATGGAATGAACAACCAAGGTAAACCAGTGGAACCCATCTATTTCTATCCTAAACTGAACCAAGAAGGACAACTATGCTTCGGATACGTCGAACTGGTTGCCAGCTTTTGGGTATGTCCGTCTTTCCTTCTAAGGTCTTCTAAGCTCACCTTGTCACCTCTTGGGGTGGCCTTTTCAAAGGCTGGCTTACAGGGGAATCAATGGGGCCTCTGTGTTTGTACTGAATCAAGGGTTGCATGGTTTGTTTACTTGTGGGTATGTGTCCGAATTGGGGGACCAGACAAATGGTTGAGAAAGCAGCCTCGGAAAAGGCTACCTTTTGCTTCAGGCTTTTTGGGATGGCCATGATCTCTTTAGTTTCTATCGATCAGACAAAGGAGCGTCAGGAGTTCTGACCATGGCACACATTGACCCTGGAGAATCTGAGCTGAACTGAATGCACGGAAAGTTTGCATGTTGATGGATTGGTTTTGGATTCGGAAGCAACTGTTTGGCATGGTGAGTTTTTTTCTTTCTTTTTTTCCCGGCGTTTTTGGAGCGCATGACAATGCAGACGCTGCGGCTCCAGGAGGGCGGGCTAGCGAAAGGTTGCTTCTTGGATTCTCGAAAGGTGCAAGTTTTGCCCGCCTCATACCAAGTGGCCATGAGCTTAAAGTCACCTCAATAGTGGTTGACTACCTGTGTCACAAGGGGTTCCAGTGCAACCCACGCAAACCTTTATAATTTATAACCATAGAACAAAGCGAGTAGGTTTTGGTCGCCGCTCGCTTCGAATTCACACGGGTATGGGTCAAAATTAAACCACCGGGGGACCGCAGATTCGCATATTTTTTGTAGGGTTTACCCTATTTTTGACCCACAGCCACACCACAA